ACAGCTGCACAAGGCACTGGCATTTACCTATAACACACATAAATATAAAATTGAAACATTCATCAATTCAATCAATATTTGATTTCTGTGTAACATTATTTTTAAGAACTGAAAAACTATTTTTTTCTTATATTTCAAAATCGTATTAATTAAATAAATAATTAATTAGTAATAACTAATATCAAAAAATCAATAAAAATATTTTCAAAATATAAATATAAATTTAAATAACAAATTATTTGAAAATAATAAATAAATTATTTATAGATAGTGTTTAATATAAATTAAATGAAAAATTAATGTAAAATATGATAAGTTATGATAGTCATGTCATAGGTCATATATGTGTTATATAAGATCCTTTTTCTTTGTAAAGGATATATAGCACATAAATATAGAACCATGACTGGAATAAAATCTGCCAAATTTGCTTTACGTAAAAAAATGAAAAATATTATTGCACAACTTAGTACTGAAGAAAAACAAAGACAATCAATGAAAGTATTTAACAAAGTAAGTATATTAGAGAAATAATTAATATAATATATGCAAGAGGTTATGTTTACTTTTATTTAAAGTTGTTCCTAACAAATATATTTCTATAGCTATGTTCTCTGTCACAATTTCAAAACAGCAAAAGAATTTCTTTATATCTAAGTACAAAAAATGAAATTGATACAATTCCAATATTAAAACATATATTCGAAACAAAAAAGGAAGTATTTGTTCCTAGATATAATGGAAAAGAAATGGAAATGGTTAAATTATTTTCAATGGAAGACTATGAAACTCTACCATTAACTAAATGGAATATTAAACAACCAAATTATAATGAAAATAGAGAAAATGCATTGGAAACAGGTAAGATCTAAAATCATTAATTTATAGAATTATGTATCTCTTAATTTGTATTAATATTAATCTCTTAATTATTATTAATATCTCTATATATGAATTCTTCTATTATAATTAATGAAATATAAAATTAATTTATAATATAATAAAACTGATATTTTAGGTGGATTAGATTTAATACTTTTACCAGGTCTTGCATTTACTACTAATGGTAAGTAAAATCTATTTTATATAAATTCTTCTAGAAGAAAAAACTTATATTATTATATAAATTATAATAATATATATTATCAATTAGGAAAACGGTTGGGACATGGAATGGGTTATTATGACAAATTTTTGGAATTATGTTTAAAGAAACAACAAAACAAACCACATTTAATTGCAGTGGCATTTAATGAACAATTATGGGAAGATATTCCTACATCTGAAAATGACATTGTTTTGGATCTTGTACTTACAGAAAAATAAATATATTTATATAACATATTTTAAAAAAGTGTATGTTATCTATTTGTTTTTATGTTATTTGTCATCATGTTATATATAATTTTATTTTCAATAAATTAAATATAAAAATGTATTAAATAAAATTGATAATATAAAAATTAATTACTTACCACTGATAGACTTTTCTTCAATATCAACATAAGTTACTTCAAATTGCTGCTCTGAAGCAATTTCTTGCAAAAACTGTACCAAATTTACATCACCATCATTCAAACATGTGTTCTGTAACAAAAAAAATCATATAACAAATTTAATAAAATTAAAAATTTAATCAAAAAATTTATAAATTTATAAAATTTATAATTTTTTTATCATTCAAAATTTAAAAATAATTAGTAGTGCTTCAATTCATTACACTACAAACCTGTAATTCAAAAAGTTTAACACCAGTGGATGACTTCAAACTTTTATGAAATTGTGAAACCTTAAGGCTATGAATAGTAGTCAGTGTTGAAATTTTGCTACCTTTCAAATCAGCATAACGGGCACTCACATTTGCATTTCTTTGTAAAACCTATAACGGACAATTAATATATGTAAAATTTTAATTACATGCTTATCATTGGAAAAAGTTTACCAATGACTGCACTTACATTAAGAGTAGAATGAAGTGGAAATGATCCAAGCGTGTTATTGTTGAAAATATATGTTGTGTTAATGATTTATAATACAAATACACATATAAATTGCACATAATTGAGATTTTAACATAAATTATCCGTTATAGATTTAGGGTGATCAGAAAGGTAGCTTATATTTTATAATACTGCTTACAATAGCAAATCACTTCCACTTCACTAAACATACACTCACGTACACATAAAAATAATTCACATACAAGTTATACATACAATACACAATTTATATAAAACAATATATTAACACTATATGTAACTAAATACATAAAAAACATGTAACTAAATATAAAAATAAATGATATTTGATTTTAAATGATTTTAGTACATAATTTTTTAAAATTAAATATAAGTAAACAAACTAATCTTACCTCATCTTCATCTATATTAGGATTTTCTGTAGTCATATAATGTAAAGCTTGCCACATTTTATGAGCTGCATGTCTTTTTGCAACTTTTTTACTTTTTCCTTGACCAACTTCTCGATATTTTAAAACAGAACAGACAATTGTGAATTGTCTTTCATGTGGCAAACCTTCTTCATTTTCTATTGTATATTTTGGTGGAGGCCAATGACGTGACATACACATTTCTTGTAATGCTCCAATTGGATTTGTAATTATTTTTTCTTCTCCATATCCAGATAACTCTTGCAAATTCTCAGAACTATATAAAATTAATTATTAAGTAAATTAAGAAATATAAATTATAATATATAAAAAATATATATTGTTATTAATATATAAAAAATATATATTATTACTCCGGTATACTATTTGGAAGTGGAGAATCTGGTGATTCACTATTTAATCTACACAATTTATCCAATACAGCCCTTGCAGCAGCATGTTTTGCTTCTTTCTTTGATTTTCCAGTCCCCATTGCTGAAACAATTGGATCTGCTTCAATCATCAGATTCTTATCATTTATCATTTTCATTTAATAAAATACATATTTAATTTTATAAAAAAACAAGTTCAAAAAAATTTATAATTCCTTAATCAAAATTCCATAAATTAATTTACTTAAAAACTAAATTGCATTATCAAAATTAGATACAAACCAACAACATCAGCAACAGTAACTCGGTAACGAAAAATAGGCTCATGGATAGCACCCTCTACTTGTATTAATTCATACTTTGGTGTTGTGCCCCTACGAGAAAGCAATTCCTGAAGAATAGAAACTGGTGTTTTGTTAGACAATGATTTCATCTCCAATTGAGCAGCCTCACTTATTGGACGTTTTCCTATCATCAAACTATGTAATGATGATCGAACTCTGTTACGCCGATTAACATTATTTGAATGATTAGGAACCCCACCTACACTGGGCATCATATTAGGCCCAACTTGTTGTGGTTGATGAATTTCTTCCATTTCTGCGACCTAAAATTATAATAAGCCTTCTGATAAATGTTTAATTTCAAAAATTTAATAAATGACAAAATTATGTTATTTATTTGTTTAAAATAATATAGTTTATATAATATAATTATTAAATATAGAAGTATTGATTTGACTATATAATTTAATTTATTTTTTCTTTTAACAAAATTTTTTCTTTCTATTAAATTTTAAATCATAAATTTCATATAACTGAAATATTTCATAAATAAAGAAATTTTGATTGATAATAAAACTATCAAATGTCGAAAATTTTAAAAATTATCTTTCATTAATGTTCAAATCTGTAATTCTGTCTATAAAAATATATATGAAAAATATTTTTGATGAATAGATTTTCAATTTCAATTTGTCAAATCATACTATTAATAAATATTTTATCAATTTACTTCTTATATATCTAATATATAATATAATAAGTAAAAAATAAAATAATTTATACTAACATGTGAATCCATAATATATTCAATAATAAAATCCTATAAATATTTTAGTAAAGTAGTTAATGAGGAACACAAGATCTATGCAGTATAAAACGGTAGGAAAACCGGCTGGCGGCCATGATTGTTATAAAATTCATTGATTAATTCTAGTATGTAAAGCTTAAAAAATTCAATAACGAAATACAAAGGTTAAGCTTTATTATAATTTCACCGAGAATCGAAAGTCCATGACGACTTTCATCACTGACAGGATTCTATTTAAAACGATGATAAAGAAGTGCATAGACCAACCGGTCACAGTATCGTCCGCTACACAAAATCAAAAAAGTCACTACCTTTACTCACAATTTTCAAACGTTCTATATATATATAAACTGGCTCCTTAACAGGCCAATTCCTATGCGAAAAGCGAATCCCGCTTTTTGTGACCGATCCAAGTCTCACAAAAAGCTTGATCCGTTTGACGACAGAAAAGTGGTTTACTGACTACCGGAGAATCTTCCTCGTTTCTGATTCTGCCGCAGTAAGCGATGTGAACAGTTTTTATAGACGCAAAGAGCACGCGCATCTTCCTGCGCAAGTGCATTACTGGCGGTTTTACAGAAACAAATGCTTGTTCTATATTTAAAATAAAAAAAATCTCTTTTATTTAAAATGTAAAAATATTAGAATATTTTTAAATAATTTTTATCTTAAAAGAAAATGTAATATATAATAATTATATTCTCATAACATAAATATATTAAATATAAAAAATTTTATTTTAATGAAAAGCTTATTAAATCCTTCATTTTCTAAATTTTCATTTTCAAATGTTTTTTATATTCAATTTTTATTGTAATATAAATATATATAATTAAAATATATATTAGTTTTATATATTTTAATACATTTTATTAATATTATGAATGAATTTTAATAAATAGACTTTTAATATAGAATATAGAATATTTAATATAGAATAATAGAATTTTAATAAATAGAAAATTCAAATCAAATTATAAATAATATACATTTCACAAATTTTTATTATTTCATATTTTATAACAAATTTTTATGTTAGCATAATATAGCAATTTATAATATTGTTTATATTTAAATTGGCGCCTTTCGGGAAATATATCGCCATTTTCAATTTTTATCTTCGTTTCTCCGGCAACACCGGATGTTAGTATGTTTCGCATTTGTATACCACCTGGAATCATCATTTCCGGCTGTTACCCGCTGAAACGGTCCAAAGATTGTACGCCATTTTTGCATACTGACGCCACAGCGCATTGTTCCGAACGTTTAATTGGTTTTTGCTACATTTATTCTATTTACTCATATTTAAAGTTCCATAATGAGTGACATTGAGGTAATTCTTTTAATTTTCTTTCTTAAATAGTAATTTTATATATAATTTTATATACTTCATCATCATAACGACATGCGGCTAGTTACAGCCATTATCGATCCATCAACGTTTTGACTATATTATAAGTTTATATTATGATTTAATGCACTTCTTCTTATTTTTAAATGTTATTTAATTCGAAAATTTATTAAAATTTTAATATCATAATTTTTTTTAATTTTGTACGATACATTTGTTACTTAAATATAATATTTTAAATATAGTTTAAAAAGGGTTAAGCTTTTGAATATAACAAAAATTTTATAAATTCTTTATTTGAAGTATATATTTTAATATATAGTAATAATGTAAATTTTTGTTTTATTCATATTTATTATTTATTATTTTAATTTATACTTTCAAAAATAAAAAATAAAATAATTTTTTAATAATTATATCATAAAACATTTTATTTTTAGCGAAGTAGTAGTCGTAGTGCAAGTCCTAGAAGACCAAGAACAGCAGATGGTGGTTTAAGAGACTCGCGTTCACATTCAAGATCACGTAAATCACGAGAGCGCAAAGAATCGCACCGACCAGTAAAAGAATATTCAAGATCACGAAGCCGTTCAGTGTCAAGAGGAAGAAAGTCCTATCGTAGCAGCAAATATGCCAGTGCAGGTCATCGTGGTAGTAGTCGCAGTCGTAGTCGCAGCCGTAGTCGTTCTACTCACAGGTTTGCGCGATATTCCCGAAGCAGATCTCGATCATACTTCCGTTCTCGTTACTCTCGCGAATGTGATAGGACCATTTATCGTTCACACTCCCGCAGTCCAATGTCATCTAGACGACGTCATGTTGGAAACAGGGAAAATCCCTCTCCTTCCAGATGCTTAGGTGTATTTGGACTTTCTATTTTTACAACCGAACAGCAAGTACATCACATCTTTTCCAAATATGGTCCTGTTGAACGTATACAAGTTGTAATTGATGCAAAGGTAATTTAATAGTATTTATATTATAATTATTATTTTAAAATATATGTACAATAATTAAAGAAAAATATAACATTAATATTATCCCTTGATAATTTAAAAAGGGAATATAATAAATTATACCAGAGATTTAGAATGTTCATACATTAAGTTAATGTAAAACATTAAAGGGCTCTGGTCACATTTTATTTTATATAAATAAAATATTTTATATTTAAGTTCTGTATTTTTACTTAAAACACATTAACAATGTAAAAATATTTATATTTTAGACTGGACATTCTAAAGGATATTGTTTTGTATATTTTGAATCACTTGAAGATGCTAAAGTAGCAAAAGAACAGTGTGCAGGAATGGAAATTGATGGTCGAAGAATGAGGGTAGATTATTCAATTACACAACGAGCTCATACACCAACACCAGGAATATATTTAGGAAAACCTACACATCTACATGATAGAGGATGGGATGGGCCTAGAAGAAGAGAGTAAGTTCATTTATTGATTTAAATAATTAAAAAATATAGTAATAATTTATTTAAAAAAGAACTTAGAAAGAATACAAAATACAATTTTTTTTTTTTTCATAAAGCAGTAGTTATAGAGGAAGCTATCGACGTTCCCCTAGCCCGTACTACAATCGCCGTCGCGGTCGTTATGACAGATCTCGATCACGCTCTTATTCACCACGTAAGTTTAATTTTTGTTTTATTATCTAACCCAATATAAGCAATCTATATAAATAGGTATCTTTTAAAAATATTTACATAGTATATAATATATACAAATATATATTTTATTAATATCCTTTTTTCTTTTAAAAAAATCATTATTATTATTAACTAATTAATAAATATTAAATTAATTTAAATTTTAAAGAAATCAAATTGAATAAAATAAGTAATTTAGATACAATATAATACTTTTTTTTTATTCAAATTTATATAATTATTTACTTACAATAGAAATTCTTAATTTAGATTCTTATTTTTGTAGACTGCTTATATTTACTTCAAGAAGAATGTTTAAGTAAAGTACAAATAAGTAGTTAAATTAGCAAGAATGGAAGACAGGAGCATCAAGGAATGCATCCAATAAATCGTACGGTAGTAACTAAGTGTAACCCGTAACATGGGTCAAACAATCATAGTTTTTGTTGCTTAATGAATTTCAGGTCGATATTAAGTGACACGAGTGTGATGCGAGAGGCCAGATGTTTGGGAGACCATTTATGTGACTTGACCCTTTGACCTCAAATTTCTTCTAACAATACTGTACCGGGTCAAAAAAAATGCAAATGCTACATTCTTACTACTATTCTTACCTTACCTAGTTCTGCATCATATGCAATTAATTACAGCATTTAAATTACGATATTGTAAAATATCAATTAATGAAATAACCTAATATGCAAAGGAGTATAGTATATTCTTTGCATGAAAGAGTAAGGTTAGAATGGATAAAAACCTTATTTTCATAATGTTTCTATTATTTTCTGGATGAATTTTTATGAAGATAAGGTTTATTTATTGTAACGGTATGACACTGATATGTGAAGGTTGGAATATAATTGTTTCCATTTTTCTTTGACTTTAATTATTTGCTTAAAAATTATATTCCAGCCATTCGGATTTTAAGTATCACTAAAATGTGATATAAATGTGGTATTCCTAAATGTTTATATAAAAAAAAAAGAAAAAGTGGAAAGAACGAAACACATACAGAAAAGAACGAAACAAAACAAAAAATAAAATTAAAAATAGAAGTATGTTCTCTAACCTGTTTGTTTGTTTATAAGGTTTTGAATCAAGAGGTATTGGATGATAGAGGGAAGTTTGAAGTTTCACTCTGAAAAAATGAAAGTTTTGAAAAGTTGAAGACAAGATATCTGAAGATGTTTGTCTTGCTCGAATTTCGAAGATCTGAAGGTTTTTCGCGCTTGTGACAAAGAATATGATCCGAATCACATTCCTTACCGGCTGAGAAGTCTCAAGCCTAGAAGAACTGCAAGCCTCAAGACAGTAAGAAATCGTTGATCATCAGGCCCCCGATCTGGACAAGCCAATGGTTGGGGGTGAAACTGGTCGAACGTTTCAGAAAATATTCAAGAAACATCGAAATCTTTTATGAGTAGGAAAGAGCGTAAGCTGCTCCAAGGTTTATACTGATCATATTCTTTATCAGTTGATTTGGTTAAATGATATATCCGTAATTAGGTGTTATAAAATAAATAAACATATATACCTTCGCCCTTATTCCCTCCACCATCCTAAAACCTCCTATGTATCCTTAAGGGTGATATCCTATTGTTTTCACTTTGTATAGGAATAAGCAGCGGAAATTCGAATTGAAATAACTAATAAACAATGGTTTTTTTTTTAATGCAAATTATTATTTACCTGACATTTATTATTTTAGAATTTACAGAAGATTATGTTAATGAATAATTTACAAATATCATTCATAACAATTTTTAGCAGAATTTTATAAAAAAAATAGCATCACAATTGTAGATGTAAATTCATGACTAGGAAAATAAAAATTAAGCGCATATTAAAAAATTTTTATATAATTTAAAAAATATTTATTATAGAAGATTGATATTTAAAAATACTGTAAATACGTTATATATTGATATAAATTTAAATTTCACATTAATAGTAAAAATATGTGTAATTTATTTAATATTAACATAAATTATACAAAAATATTTTATAAATATTATTTTAAGAATTTAATGATAAATTAAAAGATGCTATTATATCAATATAATTATATTTACAATTATTTTTTTGAAAAAAAATTTGAACATACATAACATTTATTCATATGTTATATTTCAATATTTTACTATATATTGTTCATTATATTATCGAAAATAAACAAATAATAAAATATGTTCAAATACAATTTCATCTATTAACTATCTAAATATTAATGTGAAAATTAATCATTATATAAAATATGTTATTGTTTATCACTGTTAGTTTTTATTATATGATTGCTTATTTTCATTATTTTCATAGAATTGTATTTATACAGTTTTATTTTAAAAATAATTTATTTTATTATGTATTTATGTTTATATTGGTAACAATTCCATAAATAAATTAAATATTAGAAAAGCAAATATTAATTGTCTATTTCATGTCTGATTATAAATTCGATTAGATTTTAATTATGTGATTTAGATCCATTAATTCGATTCTGTAAATGATGTCAAAACATATCATGAAAACGTAACTTTTACAAAACTCATTGTACATTAAAAGCGCCTTAATAAAAATATCAAGTTATATGTCTATGCTAGGAGAAGTACGATCTACGAAAAGAAAACATGAATCGTTTTGATATTAGTTTGTTATGGAAATTATGGTTAATCAGTATAATAATAGTGAATTGTAATGCTGCCGTACCAAAAGAACTATATCAGAATCAGATACCTACACAAGGATTGTATAATACTAGTGATGATGTCGTTATTTTAAATGTCACTAATTTTAAATCATCCGTCTATGAAGATACAAAAAGTTGGTTAGTCGAATTTTATAATAGTTGGTGTGGTTATTGTCTTCGATTTGCACCAATCTGGAAAGATTTTGCTAATGATATTTATGGTGAGTAATTATTATAACATGATTGAAGTATTGAAGAAATATTATTACTTATCTATTACTTATCTTATCATTTTTTGATATTTTTTATTATATTAATATAATTATTAAATAATATATTTTTTATTATATATCGTTATTTTATTGAATAAAAATTATATAAAAAAAATGTATACAATCATGAATTTAACTAATAAAGAAATATGTATTTTTGTAATTTTAAAAAATCTAAATTATGAAAAATCTTTAAATTTATATGCGAAATTAATATTTATTATTTCAATTTAATTAATTTTTTTAGCATGGAAAGATATTGTAGTAGTTGCTGCAATAGATTGTGCAGATGATGATAATAATCCAATTTGTCGAGAATATGAGATTATGCACTATCCCATGCTTAAATATTTTTCTGTAAATGCACATTCACCATCATTAGGATTAGTAATGGAGAAATATAATAAACTTAATGAACTCAGACATAGTTTAATAGATTTATTAGAAAGAGAACAACAAGAAGGAAGAGGTATTTCATGGCCTAATATAGCACCTTATAGGTATAATAATATCTTCTTTTTTATATTAATTTTTATATTTCTTTTTATGAAAAATATAAATTAATTATTTATTTAATATTATAGAAATTATGAGACAACAAACATATGGAAAGCTATTCCAAATACAGTAAAATATTTCTTTTTACTATTTGAAAAAACAGATTCACATTTGGGTGCAGAAGTTATACTAGATATGCATAAAATTAAAATATTACAAATAAGAAGAGCATTATCTGATAATGAATTATTATGCGAAACAAATAAAATCACAAATTTTCCAAGTCTAATAGTTTTAAGTCGTAATGAAACACAAAAAAATCTTAAAATTAGAATACCTACAAGGGAAGGTATTTATAATGTTATTAAAGAATTTATAACTTCTAAAGGAGAAATTATTCATGAACAAAATGTTTTCAAAAATCATTCAATAAAAAATGAAAATCATAAATTAAATATTAGCACTCCAAAACAATTACAAGCAATAGAACAGCAACAAAAAAATACTGAAATAAATGGAGACTATTTATATCAGCTTGATTTGGAAAATACATTAAAATATTCAATTTTTCATGAAATTCCATTACATAAAATGATAAAAGATAAAAAAATGGATGCATTAAAAAAATATTTAAATGTATTAACTGAATATTTTCCTTTAAAATATGGTAACATTTTTTTAGAAACTATTAGAGATATTATTCTAAAAAGAAGTAATATATCTGGAGAAGAATTTAGTCAAATAGTAAAATCTATAGAAGAAGAAATGTCACCCATATACTCTGGACCATCAAAATGGATTGGATGCAAAGGAAGTAAAGAAGAATATCGTGGATATCCTTGTGGTCTTTGGACAATGTTTCATATGTTAACAGTTAACTTTGCTATTCTAAATAAAGATGCCAAACATGAACCAAGAAAAATATTAGAAGCAATGTATGGATATATACAATATTTTTTTGGTTGTGCTGATTGTTCTCAACATTTTGTTCAAATGGCTTCAAAAAACAAAATGTTTGAAGTATCAAATATTAATGATAGTATTTTGTGGTTATGGTCCGCTCATAATGAAGTAAATGCAAGACTATCAGGTGATAATACAGAAGATCCAGAATATAAAAAAATTCAATATCCAGCAAAAAAATATTGTCCAAGTTGTAAATATGAAAATAATACTTGGAATGAAGAAAATGTTTTACATTATCTTAAAACAAAATATAGTTATAAAAAATAAATTATTATAATTCAGTTAATACACAAAAGGATGATGATAATAAGATGAAAATAAGACAAGAAAGACTTGTATTAAATAAATATACAAATAATAAGAAAATTGGATGGGATTTTACAATTTTTGACATAAGTATTTGTGTTGTGTTATATGTTGCATCTGCTATTATTCTTATATTAGTATGCATAAAATTTGCAGTCAAAAGAACTTATAGAAAACGAAATTATGTTAGTTTATTTGCAAAATGTGATTTTTATTTTTGTTAATTAAAATATTTAAAATTTAAGAAAAATACATTTTTAAAAAATTAATAAGAAAATTGTGAAAGTAGAAAGAAAGTGTATTATAAACATTGTACATATATTATTCCATAATTATATAATTTTTTTACAAAAATATAATATCAATAGATATATGGTTTTAATTACTGTTTGAAATAGTAATAACTAAAATTATAATTCATAAATATTATAATACATGTTTATTATATATTAATTAGTAATACATATTGTTTATAATACATTATATATAAAATATAATGTATTTGAGATTATATATTAGAATGGAAAAGACATTGTGATAACTATTTAAGCTTAATGTATAAAATTTTATAATGAGATTATTTTTTCTTTATATGACATAATTTTCTTTACAATTTATTAATAAATACAAATTCTAAGACTCAATATAAAATATACATTTAATTATTATTATATTAAATTAAAAAATATATAGTAAAACTTATTTAAATAACATTTATGTAACATTATATAATATCAATGCTTTTAAAACTAGTCTTACCAATGTACAATATACATTAATATAAATTACATTATGTTTAATACAAATTATTACAATGATAAAAATTTCCTAATATATGTAAGATTGACAATTGTTAGATAAACTGAATTAAATTTTTATGTATAAATATTAAAATCGAACTCAATATTTTGATAAAATATATTTATTCTAATATTTTTTTAGATTTTTACAATTTTTCAACGAAAATGAAAACTAATATTATAGTTTTTATTATGATAAAAATTATAAACTATATGATTTCTAATTTGTTTTAATATATTTTTAAATGTATTATATTACATTTAATAATATGTTGTAATATATATAATAAAGATTAATTAATAAGAGAGAAAAGTAACAAATTTGTGCTTATAAATTTATTAATTTTTTTATAATTATAATTTAAAAATATAAAATATTTATGAAATATTTATAAAATATTTATACAATCTATATTTATTTCCATTTAGAATTTGTATAAAACCATGAGTTTGATGTATCCCATATTACACCATTATGTGGTAATTGAGATTTTATATAAGGAAGTATCCATGTAAGATACCATCGGTCACCTAATACTTCCTTTATATTTTGCTTCCAACCTAAATCATATATGTGTATTTTCTTATTATTCTCATTAGCTACATTACCTTTAAACACTAAACAAATATGATAAATCCACAAAACTCCAGTGTATAACATTCCTACTGCAGATATAATATATAAAATCAAATAAAATTGATTTATAGAACCATCAAATCCAAAAATAAATATTGCTATAGGAAAAATAATTTTAATAAGTGACATAGGAAATTCAAAATGTATTCTATTCCAAATAAACAAATTATTATAACAAAAACTATATATTGTTGCTATAAATAAATATAGAAGAAACATAATAAAATATCTATGATTAAAATGACCAATGCAACATCCAGTAAAAATACAATGATGATCTCTTTTTAAAATACAAATATTACATATAGAACAATGCCATGAACGAGGAGGTGCTAGAGTTTCACATAAAGCACACAATCTCCATCCATTTTTTGTATTTGCAGCACTTATTGGCATAATATCTCTTCTGGTACTAGTATCACAAAAAACTATATATGTAAAATTTCCGACTATATTTAGCATAATAAAATTTCCAAAAAAGAAATGCAAAATATATGGTAATGATCCATATTCATATATTGCTGGTAACACTACCCATAATTCAAACCAATATATTATTGGCACAATTGTTAATATAAAAGTCATAGAAAAAAAATCACTCAATGTACGAGGCCAAATTTTTTTTCGAATAATCATTTTATATCTTTTAATTATTCTTGAACACGTGATTCTTCAATAGATATTTCTTATTAATATAAATCGTTTCTTATTTATTCTATCGTGATATCAATAGAATATCGTAACCTAAAAATTAAAATATTTTAAAATATTTTTTTTAATTTTAAATAATTTCATATATTATATATATACCAGATAATTTATTAAATTTGTCATTCTTATGTGTAGGAATTATCAATATTTATTCATAAATTTTGTATACGCGTGAAGTTTGATTTTTAATCTAATTCTAATTCGATATTTACTTACTTCATAGTATACTATTGTTATATGATTTAATTTAAAAATGCTAATGCATGTATATGTACTTGTGTCAAATACATAATATTTCATATTAATATTGTATCAAGGAATTTTTATATTACATATATAATTTAAATATTGTAAAAAAAAGTAGCATATATTCAATTTCAGGAATAGTTTTCTAATATAAAATTTTATCTTATTTACACAAAATAATATGCAATCTATTGAAGAATTTCCTTTTCCCTTTTCTCCATACTTGATACAAAATCAGTTTATGAAAGAATTATATAAATGTTTAGAAAATGCTAAATTAGGAATTTTTGAAAGTCCAACTGGTACTGGTAAATCTATGTCTATTATTTGTGGTGCTCTAAAGTGGTTACTTGACTATGAAGAACAACAAAGAAATCAATTAACAACTGCAATTTCTGAACTTGATCAACAAATTAAACAATATAATAATTCTTCTATTAATTGGTTTTTTGTACAAAGTCAACAGATAGAATTAAATAGCAAACGACAAATATTACAAACAAAATTAAACAATATCTTTCAATATGAACAAAGAAAGAATACATTGAAAGAGATATCTAGAAATATGTATAATAAAAAAAATTCATGTAATAAAAATATGATAAATTCGATAAAAGACAAAGATGAAATAGATAATTTAATTGATAAAAATGATGAAAATGAAAAAATTGAAGAAGAATTACTTTTAGAAGATATGCAATATTTAGAAAATTCTGAAGATGAAGATAAAGAAGAAGTTTATGAAAATACAAAAATTTTCTTTTGTTCTAGAACTCATTCTCAATTATCTCAATTTATAGAAGAACTCAAAAAGAGTCCTTATTCAAAAAATATATCTGTAGTAACATTAACATCTAGGTATTTTATATATATATATGTATATATATAAGTATTACTTTATAAAAATAAAATAAGTTTCCTAAAAAATTAATTTACTTAATAATTTTAGACAAAATTATTGTGTTAATAAAAATGTAAAAAAATTAAAACATTTGAATTTAATTAATGAATGTTGTTTACAATTGCAAAGAAAAAAAACAACTGTTAAAGATGAAAAAGATCTTAAAAGAAGGAAAATAGCAATTAATTGTCCCTTTATACCAGGAAATCAAGATCTACTTTTAGGTGAAATTTTAATACAAATTCAAGATATTGAAGAAATTGTTCAAAAAGGAGAAAGTCTTAAAACCTGTACATATTATGCATCAAGAAAAGCTATTCCATATAGCCAATTAATATTAGTACCATATAATTCCATATTACATAAAAACACTAGAATTAGTTTGGGAATCAATTTGAAAGGCAATGTATTAATAATTGATGAAGCTCATAATTTACTTGAGGCTATTGAAAAAATGCATAGTGTTGTAATTACAGGTAGAAATCTATTGCATTGTTATAGCCAACTCTGTCAATATCAAAAAAGGTAATATATTTTATTTTGATAACTAATATTATTATTAGTAATATTAATATTATTATTAATATTACTACAAAATTTTATTAATATATTTAGAAAGATATTTGTTTTAGGTTTCAAAATTTATTCTCAGCTAAAAATGTTTTAAGCTTATCTCAATTAAATTTTTGTTTGAGAAAACTTTTAACAGTTTTGGGAGCTACCACAAAATCAAATCCTGATGATTTTATAGATGTAAAAATATCTCCCAAATTATATAAAATAGAAGAAATAATGACAGAAATTGACACAGTAAATATATTTGAATTATTGAAGTTTATTAAGAATTCTCAATTATGTCATAAATTACAAGGATTCATAGAACAATATGATACAAATTTAAAAATTCATGACTATAATACAAAAACATGTGGTATAAAGCAATTTTTAAATTCAATTAAAACTAAAGATATAGAGTCTGATGTAATAACAAACATTGAATCAAATGAAGAACAATCAAATAATCCAATAATAGCAATTGTAAATTTTTTAGAATGTTTACAAAACTGTTCTAGTGATGGACGCATATCTGTTATTCCTGGTCCAACTGTTGGACAAAGTATTATGAAATTTCTTTTATTAAATCCAGCAATACATTTTCATGATATTGGTATATTGATAAATTTAGCTTATAATTTATTTCAATTATGATATTTAAATCTAACTTTTGATATAATTATTTTTATAATTATTTTATATAAAATTCTTTTTTTGATATTATTTTAATTATTAATAGTTCGAGATGCTAGAGCTGTAATATTAGCTGGTGGAACAATGGCACCAATGAATGAATTTATAGAACAATTATTTATAGCAGCAGGCGCTGCACCTGAAAGAATTATTACATTTTCATGTGATCATGTAATTCCCGAAGAAAATATAATATGCAATATTATAACTCATGGTCCAACTGGTATTGAATTTGAATTTAATTTTCAAAATCGAGAAAATACGAAATTGGTAAATATAAAAATTTATTAAATAATAATTTTATTATAAAATTATATTATATGTTATATAATAAAATTATATATAAATACTATTTATATTAATTAAAAATTTATTTATTTTTTTAATGATATAAATTATATATTAAATTTATATAAAATATAATATATATAATAATAATATAATAATAAATAAAATATTTTATAAAAAAAATAGTTGGATGAACTAGGAAGAACATTACTCAATTTAAGTAATATCATACCAGCTGGTATTGTAGTATTTTTACCTTCCTATAATTTTGAAGAACTTGTATACAAACATTTAGAAAAATCTGGTATTATTGCAAAACTTTCTTTAAAGAAACATATTCTTCGAGAACCAAAATTAGCTTCTCAGGTACTGTTGAAACTTTTTTTTGTATGATTTTTATGTAAATCACAATTTAAAATAAATAATTAATTATTATAGGTAAATAAAATTTTGGAACAATATTCATTTTATATAAAACAACCACAAAACTCACAAAATGGATCATTATTATTTAGTGTGGTTGGAGGTAAATTAAGTGAAGGATTAAACTTTTCTGATGATTTAGGAAGATGTATTATAGTTGTAGGAATGCCTTATCCTAATATCAAATCATTAGAATTACAAGAGAAAATGAAATATTTAAATGAAAATATTGTATGTATTTTTATTTTATTCTTTTTTATAATAAAGAATCTTGATTAATATTATACATATTTATTTTTCAATTTATATTTTCTTTTTCTTTTTTTTTTATTAGAAACCAGATGCTGGCCAAAACTTCTATGAAAATTCATGCATGAAAGCAGTAAACCAATGTATTGGAAGAGCTATTCGACATATTAATGATTATTCAACAGTAATATTATTAGATAAACGATATATTCATAAAACTAAAGTACTTCCACATTGGATTCAACGTACATTAATGATTCACAAAACTTTTGGTGGCATGATTGGCAATTTAGCTAAATTTTTTAATAAGAAGAAAATTAATTTTGATAAAAAAAATGGCAAATAAAAATAAAAATATTTAAACATAATAATAAATATATAATATAAATAATATACTTTATATATTATTAGCTATATAATATTAATATTACATTTTAGAAAAAAATTTTATTACAAATATTTTTGAAGAACATTTAAATTATATAAAATTTATAAAACAATAAGAATTAATACAAATATAAAGATTTGACTATATTACATATAATTTGCAAGATGCACTTCAAATTTATATGTCAAATCATGATAATAAACTTGACCAGGATATAATATAGAACACGGAAAATGTGACTGAAACAATTTGTTTCATATATTAATTCTTATCTAAGAAAAATTATTTGCAAAAAATACTCACATAATGGATTGCACTAGGATAATTTTGTGGTTGGATACTGAAAGCACTATATTTTTTATATTGAGCTCCATGTTTTCCCAAAATAAATTCTATCTTTTTAGGCACAGTTATTATCTTTTTATATTGCTTTTCAACTTTTATTTCTTCTTCATCATCTTCATAATCACTTTTATATAGTTCATCATTTTCTTCAATTTCTCCAATATCCTACATAATATTATTAAATTAATTTTATAATATTTAAGTGAATAAAATGAAATGATAATTAATTAAAATATTAATTTACTTCTAATAATTCATATGTAGGTAAAAGTTCTGAACTAATTTGAGGTGGTAAACGACCTCCAGTATAAAATTGTACTCCACGTTGATCTGAATAAATTTCTAAAGCACTAAATATCAATAAACATCAATATTTAAAAAATATATTTAATAAATAATTAATATATTTGATTTATATGTACCGTCCACTTTTTACATGCCATACTTTGGCTACAAATGAGCTACCAGATTGTCCACTTTTTGTAACACACAAATTATGATCGTAACCTTCTCCAGGTGGTACCTGATAAAATTGAAAAATAAGATTTAAAAATAATATTTTATAAATAATAAATAAGATTTGATATTATTTTAAAAATATTATTTATATATTATTCATTTAATATTATTAATATTATTATTATTCATTATAATATTATAAAAAAATTATAATTTTATACCTTTTCCATATATTCTCCTAAAATTCTAGGTATTCGAAAATCCATTACTGTTCCACCAACACCACGTATAGCACCTGTTGGAATTGGATCTGTGTAATCGGCAAATGTCCATCGATCACAATTCAGTAGTACTTTATGTTTTCTCAATTCAGCTTCTCCAGAATCCTATTATATTTTATTTATTTAACTAAATATATGTTTAAGAAAATATTACTTACATGTCCAGCTAAATTAAACATAGATCCATGTGATAAATTCACTATTGTTGGTTTTGAAGTTGTTGTTCTCATACATATATCAAGCTTATTATCTGAAGTCAATTTAAATCTTATTGTAGTTAACACTGCACCTGGATAGCCTTCTTCACCATCTTGACTTAAATAGCTCATAACAACTGAACATCCAGCAATGTATGAATCCCAAATTTTACGACCAAATCCATTTGTCTAATGAAAATATACAAATAATAAAATCATTATTGCTTTTATTTATATACTGTATATAATGTAATTAATTAATACTCCTCCATGTAAATGATGTTTTCCATTAAAATCATTTTTTGTTAATTCATAATCTCTGCCTCTAATAGTAATATGTCCATTTTTAATACGATTTGCACATCTGCCTAATATACAACCAATAAATGGATTTGTTACAGGATTTGTATATCCTGTAATAATTATATTTTAATTATGGTTACTATTTAATATTATTTAATATTATTACTATTTAATATAACTATTTAATATTATTATTATTGTTATTATTATAATAATAGAATTCAAAAGTCAATAATAAAATTATACCTTTTATATTATCAAAGCCAAGAACAATATCAGCAGAATATCCATATTTATCTGGACATTTTAAAGATACAATTGTAGCACCCCAAGTAATAACAACAATTTCCATTCGATTAGTATTCACCATAGTATATGATTTTATCGTTTTTGGTATAACATCAGACAAAATTTGATCTTTATCATCTAATTACAATAATCTATTATTAATTTAAATGTTATATTATATTAGTTTTATTGAAATAAAAATCTCATTAATCAGTTTACCAATCCAAATTTCTCCAAATATTCCTTCTGTAATTGTTACATTTTTGCAATTGCAAGCATGAAAATCCATATTTAATGATATAATACTGTAATATTATATATATTTAAACAACATCTTATTTAATAAAATAATAATAAACTTGCATTAAAACAATAATTTTATTTTTCATTCATTACTATAAAAAAATTAAAAGTATTTCATTGAATTTCTTTTTTGTTTAGACAATAGAAAATCATTTTTTAATATTCAAAGGCATTTTCTACTATAAAAATACAATAAAAAAAGATATTATATATATTTTTGCTATTATTTTAAATGATTTATTAATAATAATAATAAGGCATCATCTACAATTTGTGATGCTTTAATGTTACAATAATTATAGTAAATAATATAATATATACTCCAATTACTATTTATAATTTATATAATTAATATTTATAGAATAATGTACAATGCTTGGAAAAATACATGAATTTTTAGTGCAAATCAGACACCGCATTAATACATTTCCCATTCAATTTTCATTTTATTACATTTAAATTTGTTAAGTAAAAAATCGAATACAATATTTTTTATTGCATTTTTTTTAACGAAATTATTTTTTTTTATAATTTTGTATAATAAATTTGATATTTTTTTTATGATATTGTATCATTTAATTTTTTATTGTTTTATATATATTACTGATCATGCAGTGTCCAATATATCTTTGTTTGGCAAACTATATCCATCGCAGAAAGTTCTTTGAAATTTCTACATCTTCGTACAACTGTTAGAGTTATATTACATCGAAGATTCCTTCCTCAAGCTTTGGATTCTGCATTACATTATTTTAAGGCGCACACCAAAGCAGTCACTTGTTACTTAAATACACGTGGAACACATTGCACTTAGCTTATTAGTAATATTCTTATAACTACAGAGTAATTTAAAATTTAAATAAATCATCAGTAATTACGGATTTACGGGTTGCAGTACATTCTACGTCTTATAAGTTCAGATATTACAAAACAATACTGACACAAAATTATATATAAATATTGAATAATCAAAAATTTCTAATAAAACTATAATAAATTCTTCAATATCAATAATTTTCAAATATTTAATTAAAAAAATTTAATTAAAAATATTAGAATTGTTTATCATATTTTGCAACAAATAAATGTAAATATATATAATAAATGAGATACCACAGTAAGTATTTTGTGTACATAAAAAATATGCTTGTTTCATAATTATCTTCTTGGTCAATCATTGTACAAATTATTTATAAGCAGCAAGCATAATTTCAACAAGAAAATATTTACATTTTAAGTTTATATGAAAGAAATATATTCAAAATAACAATAGTTTTCATATTACATCATTTAAATAAAGAAATTTAATTATTTAAAAAAATAATGATTTTTTATTTATAAATTAAGTTTTATAACATATGATTTAGAGCATTTATTGCAAATATGAAATTGTATCATTTATATTCTGAACAATGTTTCTTTATATATGTTATTTCTAATCAACAAAACATATAATCTATAAATGGACTTTGATGAAATATAAAACTGGATTTTTCTTATTTTCAGGTAAAGAACTTATATAAAAAATAAATATAGCTTAGACTAGCACTGACGACGGTTGAACGCCATTACACCATTCATAATTTATAGTTGTCTAATATTATACTTGATAAGTAATTTATTATTAATTACTATCAACAAGAGAGAAAGAGAGAAAGAGAATATTGGTAATTAGCATTCTAAGATTTCATTAAATATTTTTCAATTATTTTGGAAGCATTTTCAACTTTTTTATCTCTCTTAATGTATTAAGTACATGATACTAGCACCGCAATATATCTTTGTACAACATAGAAAGGCATATCCATGAAATATTTTATAGGTTCTTCAATAACATCATAAATATTTCAGTCAACTGTTTAATTATTTTTTATCATATATAAGATTTCACAAGTTGAACTTTGAAAAAGTATAAATACAACTAATGAATTGATGTATACAAGAACTAATTTATTATATTCAATATTTTTTTTTAATATTTAAATATATTTTTTATAATTAATTAATTTTAAAAAAATTTGATTAATAAAAAGAATTTTAAAATATTTTTCAAATTGATAAAAAAGTATATTAAGATATAAGATTTTAATATAAGATTTATGTAAAGCAATGATATTTTAAAAATTATACAAAAATGATTAAAAAAATACTTCTTCAAAGTTTCTTTTCTTCTTTTTTCTTTTCCACAATGTTTATATACATTAAGACATATTCTACAATACTGATTATTATTCAAGATATTACTATAAAAACAGTTTTGAAATAAAAATTTGTTCTTTTCTTATATTTTATATTCTATGAGATCAAAAAAATAAACGGATTATTTTGATTCCATAAAACGGCGTAGAATATATGCAACATGTAAATGAGTTTTGATTAGCATTTGTAAATTTAATCTAAATCATATGTTAGTTGTTTGTTACAAAATCAATTAACATGCACATATCAATACAAAATCAAATTTAGGTCGATTTTTTTAGCAATTACGAAGATACGGAATATAAATCAAAATAAAGGATTTTATAAATTAATTTCATTTTTACTTTCTATCCAAATAATAGAAAATAGAAAAGAAATATATTGATATAATATCCAATATTTTGATCATCTATTAACATCTTAAGTAAATACAAAATTATTCTAGGGCACTCATGCATTTAAAATTTCAAAAAAATTACATACTTTACATAATCAATATAAAGGAATGTATTAATCATTATTACATTGTTAAGCAAACAATAACTATTCAATATGTACTTGTATGTACAATAGTGATTATGTATATGGAGTGTCCTTGTTCAAAAATTTTTGTTAAGTATATCACACATTGGATGACTAATATAATTTATAAATGAACTAAATATGTTAAATATTTTTCTACATATATGCCAATCATTTCAATATTGTTTTTATAAAAGAAATTTTATATTATTTTAACTGCACATGGCATACTAAATTAAAGCTATCACACTAGTAGCTTACAAATGCATTAAAATTGCTACTGTACAAACTTTTCACATTTGTATCTAGTGCCATGGTATAAAGATTAAAAGTTAATAAAATAATATACGAATTTGATAATTTAATATCAAAGAAAACGTATATCTATTATACAATTCTTATCAATTACAGATGTTTCAGGAAAACATTGTGTTTAGGAAAAGTTACTATAATCTATTGTTTATTATATAAAATTATTCTACAAGTATATATTCATATATATTGTCACAAAGTAATATTTAAAAAAACGATAAATAATCTTGTTAAATAATCAACAATGTTTTCCTGATTATATGTTTCATTTCATTCATTGCAATATATAATTAGTTTCAACAATTATTTTTTCAGTCACAAAAATTTTGATGGAATGTAAATTATGGTTAACATTAATATCTGTAATAAATATGAGCAGACAGTTGTAAAACTAAAGGAACAACAAAGTCTCATTTCTCTAAGATGATATTGGACAAACAAATATAGAATTTAATTTTTAATATTCTGAAAAAAAAGTTAATACCATTTTAAATTGCATAATATAACAAATATATAAGATTTTATATATATTTTTCAGAATATTTGAATTAAAATATTTATTCTTTTTTATAGTTTTTTAAGTATTCATGCAAATAATAGAAATATATAATATACTAAATACTAACAGCAGATGCAGGATGTGCGGAATGTATGAATAAAATATTTATAATACATAAAATATAATTTAAAAATATTGTGTAGTATTGAATGGTCAATACAAGAATTATCTTGATATTTATATTATTTCTACAAAATATACATGAGACATGTCAGTTCTTTGTTAAATTAAAAACAGTCTAATTGAATACAAGAGTCTTTTATAAGAATGTCTCAGTATATGGAATGTTATATTCTTACTGCATTTGATGTTCAATATTAATACATGATAAAATGTTTTGCAGGAGGCAGTGCTTTGACAACGTGCATCGCTGTATTTTCTAGTTATGATTTGATAAATTTCTGCCATACCATAAATTGTTTGATTCAATTGTGATTGTAAATTGAGTGTTACTTTCAAGATTGACAAAACTTTTTGAATTCCTAATTTTTATCATCTGTCATTTTAAATAAGCCAATGCTATGATAAAAATTCTCTCTCTAATTCAGATATACTTGGTTTTCTATTTCTATTTATCCGTCGATTAGCTTGTAATGGCACGGTAATATCTTGATTTTGTCCATGTACGGGAATATCAAGTAATGTTTCTCTATGTTCACGCGAAATGTTCACTCCATCTCGATCAAATGTTACCGGAGAAAATCGAACTCTACTTATAGAAATTTGACTATCTTTAGCTGAAACATAACTTGAATCCTCTGAAGTTAAAGAATCTGGTGGAGTAGGATTTGTTGGAGTACCCGAACCTGAATTATTTTTACTTACGCTTTTATTTGGTGAATTATACGAATAATTGGATCGTTTTAAACTTGACCGTAATCGACTAACTACTTCTAAATTACTGGGTCTTTCTCCAGAATTTGAATTCGAATCATGCGAATTCTGACGCGTCAATAGTTGAGAACCATATTCATGATTAAGCATACTAGGACTATATGTCCCAACATTTGAGACAATATTTGAAGATCGTTGATAATAATGTCCAGGTGAATATAAAGAATAATCATCCTCATCTTCTAAACGAAATGTTGGATTAATGTTACTTTGACTCGATGTACTTGCATTTGATACATTTGATGAGGTACGATGATGAGTATATGAAGGAAGTCTTGATACTGGTCGAGCTGGACTATTTATGCTGCTTGGATTATCATAAGCATGTGGAAATTCAGAACACTCAAGCATTCTATCACTAAAGGAAAAAAGTTAGTATTTATAATAAAAATTTTTATTTTATTTAGTGCTAATGAACTTACTGATAATCTGTAGATACAAAATATGTTGGTTCTGGTGGTCTATAATATTCTGATGGAACAACTGTATATACTGGAGGTCCATAATCTGGAAAAGGAGCAACATTGCCCATATATATTGTTGGTACTCTTTCCATTCGATCAATTCTTCCAGTATCATGTATATATATATCTTCATTACTAGTGCTGCTACTTTTTCTTCTAGGGCTTGGTGTTGGTGCATTAGAGCTTGTATTGCTTGCATAATGTTGTGGTGAATCAGTAAATCTTAGAGGTTTATCAGGTATCACACTAGGTGGAAGACCAGGTGCTATACCACCCATGTTGCTTAAAAATGGTCTGTAATAATGTTTTATTTTTAATATGTATATTATACATTTTATATTATATACATTTTATTATATTATATTTATAAGTATATAAATGTAATATAATAAATGTACATATATTATAAATATACAAACCTAGTAAATTATGTAAAAAAAAAATATAATTACAAATTTAATGTTTTAATTTCATACCTGTAATGCCTAGCTGGTCCATGGTATGTATTATGAGGATAACCACTACTTGAACTAAATTCATAATCAGGCCCAAGATAACTGGAATTACGATTCGATCCAGTATCTGTTTGAAACCACCATCGTGGAGGTTCATCTTCACATTCACCAAGTCGTGGATATAATCTTGGATGAATTGGAGATATGTTTGACATTCTTACATCATATCCAGTAGCTACTCCAGCTAACATAGCTGCGATATTATATAAAACCAATTCTATTACACTTAACTTTGGCTTCTTCATTTCTCCATTGTAAAGAGTTGGCATTGGTACAGGCATTGGCATAATGTAAGGTCCAGTTAATCCAGGCTTCAAAGGATAATCTGATGTTATCCAATCAGTTGAGAGATCAGGTGATAAAGTTGTATAGTCTACAAAAATAATCAAATTTCTACAATAATAATGGTGATATTGCTATATATTTTTAAAAATATGTGTACTTATAATTACAAAATATGATAAAAATTTTTACTTCCTTTCTATAATATCAAATATCAAGATATTATATCAAGATACTATTACTTTTAATTCCTTACCTTCATATAAATTTTACAAGTCTCATAAATATCATATATTTTTTGTATTAAATTTAGATTAAACAGTTTAGTATTAAAGTTATAACATGCTTATTTGTTATTATATTACTTATAATAATTTATGTGTATAAGCACAACATATTACGTGCATCATATTAAAATATTACATGCCACAAATTTAAACTATATCTTATTATCAATAATTTTCAAAAAGCTTGTACATTATTATTTAAAATACATGTTAAATGCATAAAACCCATATCATAAAAGTAAATATATTGTACATGTTGAAACTTTAAAAATTAAATAAAGTATAAAAAAAGGAATAAAAATTATTTTTAAAATAACAATTTTAATTAATCTTAATTAATTTTACTCTATACAATTTTTGCTTTTCTTTTTTCCCTTTTTCTCTTTTTTATTCAGTTTAGAATGCTGTTTTCTTACTTGCTATTTGTTATAATATATTATCAATTTTATTCTTTAATAACAATATATAAAAGTATTGAAAATATAGTTGTCATTATATAATTATATTATCACAAAAATAGTTTATATATTCAATTGAATAAAATAAAAATATTGAAAATTGAATGGCATATTTGTTACACATAAGATTGGAATTTTGTGGTAAACAAGACCAAACCCAAATGGCCTTAATAGTTAGGATCCTACTGGAAGCATGCAGAAGGATTCTTTTACGCTCGATTATTGGTTATATAAAAAATTAATATATACAAAAAATAAATAGGATATTTTATAATTTTTTTCTTATTTAATTTTTAATTAGTAAATTAATCAAAATAAATATATTATAATTTAGCTAAAATGTATATCAATATTATAATTAAAATATACTCAATATTCATTTAATATCATAAATATTACCATAAACCGAGCGTAAAAATTCAGAAAACGAAAAAACAAAATTCAATGTGTCCAACTGAAAAGGTTTTATTGAAAAAATTTCTATTTCTAAATACAAGTGTGCATGTCGCTCCATGTGTCGTATGTAACATGTGCAAAATTTCTGAATCTAAAAAATATCGAAAATCTATGATAATACAAAAATGAAATCGCTGTTAAATTAGGCTGAATAGTTAACAAAATGTGAATTGATTTAGATGCGAATAAAGCAATAAAGAAAAAGATACAACTCCAAACTCTACTTTTACAATTAAAACATGATACTTTGCATAAATCTTATGACTTTAACTTAACTTTATTTTAATTTCTGGAATACAATTATGCAAAAAACACACTTTTTCATAATCGCCACTAAATGAAAGAAACAATTTTAATATAGAATTTTTTATTGTAGTGGCAAAAGCACATGATTTCTTTTATATAGTAAGAGGCTGTTAGCTCTGCTTTGTTAGAATGTTATATACTCCAGATAACATCAGAAAAGAACCAACACCAGAAAGATTGCATTTACTCTTTATGTATATTTTATTAAATTACAGTTTAAAGTACGAAGTTTTTATCAATTTAAATTAGGATAAATAGTTTTTAGATTATTGCAGGATACTGGCTACCCTTTATTAAAATATCCTAACATAATATATCTATTATGTAATTTGATAGACATTTGTATTTGATAAACATTGATTAACATTAATTAATTAAACTATTCATTTATGCAGATAAAACACAAATTTTACTTAATTTTTTATTTAATTCTTGATAAAATTAAAAAATATTTCTTATAAGATACATACCAATAATATGTACCATTCCAAAAATTCAACAGAATAAAATAATCTTAAACACTATCAACATAAAAAAGGAAAACAGTTTATTATTAAATGTTTGCAACTGTACACCTATTGCTAAAAATATGCATATATATAAAACTAATTCTTAGATAATCAAGAAATGTAAAAAATTTAATTAAACTGCATATTCATGCATTTCAATCAAAATAACTTTAAGCACAAACTACATAAATACAATTTAGCAAAAGAAAAAAAAAGGAAAGAAAATATAAACATAAAAAGGCACTATCCATCTGAGATCTTTCAATAATGAGAAAAAAAAAAAAATTATTGGCTAGTAATATAGAAAAAAAATTAAGTCTCCTATAAAATGTGAAACAATTGCACAGCAACATAAAGAGACTTACGAGTGGGATAGATGCTTTCCTCTGAAAGGCCTGTGGTAAAGAAAATATAGGACTGTTACTAAAACATATAAAACAGAAAGAAGATATTCTCGTGAAACGCGTTTAAGAGTGATGTGCACATCTTTATCTTTGTGAAATGCAATGTTATTTATCATTTTTCTTTAAAAATTTTTCGGCAATAGAAGTCTTAAGTGAATCATAAATAATTGAATTTATATCTTCAGAACTTTTATGTGAAGAAGTATCTTTAAAAGATTCAATTGAATTTTTCTTCCTCTATAATTAATTTGCAAATTTTGACTTTCATAATCTTGTACATATCCAGATGCATGCATAACTGAATTAATTTTATCAACATGATCTTTTTCACAATTACGCAAATATTCATTACTTTTCGATTTTTTACTTAAAGAGGAATTTAAATTAAAACTTTGATCTATTTGTGAAGTGCATTGTTTTAAACATACATCTGATATATCGGTAACACAATCAAAAGAGGTAGGAGATTTTTTGCATTTATTATCTGAAAACAACCTAAAGAATTTTTTGAAATGGAACTATCATTTGAATGTTCTGAATCAAAATTACAAAGTTCTGATTCAAGACTTTCGAAGTCTATGCCTTCTCGAGAATTAGCAGTTAAAAATTTAGGCATTGCACTACTTTGATCGGAATCACGTCGTAATTGCGGTATTGCAAAATATGCCGAAAATTGTGGTATAGATATTGTATTGTCTAGGACACTATATTCTACTTTAACACCAGTAGTTTTATCATCAAGAGCATCTCGACTTCCCCAAGCTTTCATTTTATTAAAAACTCTCAACGGACTTTTAGAAATTCTGGATTTATGATGAAATTTTTTACCTATAGAATTTTCAGGGCTTGATTCTAATCCATCTATATCATTAATTTTTATAGTAACAGAATTTTTTTGTTCTGTACTATGTGAAGAATTTAAAGAACTTTTTCTTGATCCAGAAGGAGAACGAAAGAAATCAGCGAAAGCAGCTAATCGTGATTCTGAGCTATCTCTACGTCTCGATTCTTTTGATTTACTTCTTTCGCGTTTTTTGTTTTTCACACGTTTCGCAGTGCCAACCAAACTAGATGCTACGTTTTGTACAAAATTTGAAGAATATGAGTGTTCCCAATCACCGATCACATGCTTTTGACATTTAGAAGATGAAATTTTTGAAGTATTTCGAACTATGGATTTTGAATAATTATCCATGACTAAATGATCATCCGAAAATTGAGTTTTAAGATTATTTGCTGATTTGTTATGTAAGACTACAGACTCATAAATATCATTGTCCACAATAACCGAATCTTCATTATAAGGTGGACAGTTTGTATTTTGTATAATATTGTTAGAATTTTCTGGAATGTTATAGCTAAATCCTTGATTGTCTATCAAATTATTTGCTGACGAGTACAACTTTCTGGAGGAGGGGTTACCTATTTCTTGAAGAAGCGGGGAACGATGTGCCAACAGAGCGGTACGTAGGGGTGTCTTTTCTAGATCTGGAGCAGAACGTGACCATCGCTTGCCACCTGGAGATGCGGGATTTGGTGGTTGCGTGATAATAGCTCCACGTTCGCGTTGGTGAAGTGTTGATGGCCCCCAAGTCTTACCCTTTACTCCATCTGCTGGTACTAAAGATGGAAGACAAAAAACAAAACGCTACTCACTACAATACTAAGTTTCCCTCTTACCCTAAACTCTTTTAAAATATCTGCACATTTCAAAAAGATAAAGGTGTTTTATGAGATTGATTAAAATAGATTATAAGATTTATTAATAGAGATCTATAAAATTACTCATTAAAAAGTTATTTTCATTTTAAAAAACTTTCATAAAAAATTTCTTAAAAATAAAAAAAATTTATTTTTTAAAATATTATAAGATTAAATAACATTCGTTTTTTTATACATATTAAACAATAATAATTATATAATAAAATATATAAAAATATATTTAAATTATTCACACCATGCTAATAAAAATCAATGTTAAATTAATACAATGTATCTACAAGGCAAACAATTTCAAACAATTTAATTCAAATTTCTTGAAAATATTAAATTAAAAAAATAATTAAGAAAAAATATTTGAGAGCAAAACCAATCATTCATTATTGATTGAAATTATATAT